CCTATCCAGAAGAAACAAAGCAACCTCGGCGTCCGATCGCAGACCCGCCGCTCTTTCAGTTCTCTCCAGTGCTGGAAAGCTAATGCGATATTTACACGGGTCCTACTTCTTGCCTTCTTGCCTTAAGCCTTCTTTTGTTCCACAGAGGTTTTCCTCTTTTGTTTTTTATCCGCCATCTCTATCTTTCTGTCGCTCGGCTCAGCTAATGTCCGTCCTATGCACTGAAAGCTCTCTCCTCCACATCACGAGTAGACACGCCCCTTATTGCTGATTGGCTACAAGTTACTCCTAATTGAGATTGTAGATAGAGTGTCAATGGTCAATTTGAGAGATAGGTGGGGGTAATGCACTTATAAGTCTGCGACCCGCCGTAAAGCAAGAAGAAGACGCATCACGCTCCGGCTGTCGTTATGTTAATTTCATACTGGACATTAATTTAATTCGCATTTAATTTTTGATTTGACAGAATGACTTTTGGAGGAAATACACAGAGGGTGAGTTTTTATCATGCATACACCTGAATGATTTACCCTTAACAGAAACTGCGAGAAAAAACACACTGAAATATTTTCATCTTCTCAGTCAAATGTTTATCTACTAAAAGAAACCTGTTCATCCAGAGTTCTTAGCATATTATTTTAATATTCCCAGTTCACTAAAGTTCCACTTCTTTTTAAACCACTTCTTCATTATGCCGTTGTGTTTTTCTGGAAAAAAAAAGTCTGAAAATTGTTGTCTCTGCTTTCTGTTTATGTGTAATCCTTTACATGTACACTACCAGTAAAGTGTTTGGAATTTTTAAGATTATTTGAATGTTTTTAAAAGAAGAGCTCTTAAGCTCACCAAGATTGCATTTATTTAATCCAAAATACAGTAAGAACAGTTATATTGTGAAATATTATTTAAAATGACTGTATAGTTTGAAAAAAAGCTAAATTTTTAGCATCATTACTCCAGTCTTCAGTGTCACGTGATCCTTTTGACCAGTAGTGTATGTACTAACTTCCATTACTTCAAATAATTCATGCGCAAAGCACAGTCATATATAAAGAAATAATAATAGCATCCACATAAAAACTGTATTTTATAATTTGATTTTTGATAACTATTTCCACCTGTGTTTATAGATAAGGGTGAATCCCAATCAAAAGTTGATGTAACAGCATTGCTGGTGGGCATCATCTCCGCTGGAGTCTTTATTGTTATAGTTGGCCTCCTTATCTGGTACTTCTGCCAGGGGAGGAATAAAGACCATGGCTTCCGAAGGTAAGGCTTTACAATAACGAGTGTGAAGCACATTCTCTATGTTGAGAATTATGAGAATTATCCTAAGAGTTTGTCATTTACTGGAGAGACTGATTGCAATGTTTTGCCTTTTAAATTTAGTTCATTCAGACGTCGATCCAACCGAAACAATGCCTCTGTGATCATCCGGAGACTGGAGGAGGTCTCTCTGCATCCTATTCCTTACACAGGCTCAGATGCCAGCCCAGATGCTCATGGTTTACCTTCTTATGAACAGGCCATCACCATCAATGGACCACATGATGCCCCACCTCCACCGTATCCTGGGTACCAACACGCCTTTTCATTTATTCTATTCCCTTATGTAATCTGTTTCATTTTATTATTATGTCATTTAGTTGCTTATTACCACCCATTTAACGTTTCTTCAAAATAAAAAAAAATGTAAGGTATGTTAATTGCCAAAACAGGCAGCAATTCATGGTTAATTGTTTTGCTCAAGAGCAGTTGTAATCACTGTCTGTTTCTAAATGCTAAATGAAAGGAATAGTTCACCAAAAAATTCAGTTTACTGAGACTTTACCCATCCTCAGGTCATCCAAGATGCAGATGAATTAGTTTCTTCATCAGAACTAGGGATGTTCATTTCGGTTATTTTTCCTAACCGACAACTGACGCTCATTAACTGATTATTAACCGTTAACCGACGAGATTATTTTAAATTAGAATTTAATTAAATTAGAAAGGATAAGTGTCTGTGAACCGTTAAAAATACTAACATTTGTTTCCCAGGGATTAATTTTACATGCGCAAAAAGCAGCAAACAACAGAACATGAGGATTCACATGGCCATCATATCACATCACGCACCTGCAGCGCTTCTGCGAGTGGAGAAAAACTTAATAAAGCTAGGCTATATATATATATATATATATAAATAATATATTAATATAATAATAATAATAAATAGGCATATACGAGAAAACGAAAGAAAAACTGTGCAACAAGTAGCCTAGTATGCAGAGTTTCGGTTCATTTTTGTGCTGCGTGAAAAGAAACCAGACGACAGAAAGCGGCATCCTATTTTTCTTTAGGCTTATTTTACAAAAGCACAAAGATTTGTTTTTATTGTGAATGCACACAAATAAAGGCAAACCTTTTACAATTC